ACATTTTCCCCTAATTTACCTCCTCCCACTCCTCTATATTCCACTCCACTTTCTTCCGTTCGCTATTACCCCCCCCCCTCCTTTCCCCCTCCTTAATCACTCCTCTATCGCCTCACTCCCCTCCTCTGGATCTACCATCCAGCTCCACCTTCTCCCCTTCTCATCGACCTCCTCACCACCTTCTTCCTTCCTCTCCCGGCCTCTTGTCTTCTCCCCACTCCTTCTCAGTCTATGTTTATCCTCTACCTCGCCCCTTTCCCTTTACCTCTTTCCTCGCTCCTCCTTCATTTTCTCCTCCCATCCTTTATCTTCTTCCTTCTCTTCTACCACCTCTCTCCCGTTCCACCTTTCGCTTCTCCTCTACCTCCTCTCTCATCCAGCACCTTTTCCCTTCCTCCTTCACCACGTTCCTCCGCCACGCTCTCCGCTGTTACCCGTTTCCTCGCTCATGTGACCAATTTGCCAATAACCAAGTTTCCTGCGATGAATTTCCCTGTGACCAATTTTATCACGCCTCTCGTATAAATAAGTGGTCTGAAGGTGGTCAGACTTTAATGCGTCTGCTTTTTTTGACTTCTAATGCCATATGCATGTCGACGGAGATCTATAATTCAGCAGGAGAACGACATTCTTACCCACATTCCCACATCCAACGAAGTAAAATCCACCTACACTCACTCACAGAAAGAACAGGGGGCATTGCACTCTCGCTACTTTGCGTCCAACCACTAGGCGAGATTAGAGCGAGAGAAGAATATAAGTGGTTCTGGCCGTGGGCATTCTGAATAGTGGCCACATGGAAATTTGATCCCAGTTATTCTGTCTAAACAGTATAGGAGGGAGGAGAATGAGGAAGGAGGTATAGGAGGGAGAAGAATGTAGACAACCGCAGCTTCACCCCAATCGCTCCTGCTCCATTGCTTATCAGCCCCTCTTATAACCCTCCTCCCCTTAGCTTCCTTCCCCATTGGCCCCTGACTAACTACTAGTAGTTACTCAATGTAGTAATACGAAATGTGCGTGAAGAGAGAAGAGGGGGAAGGATGGACGAAGTACCTCTACTTCGGAGGAAGAAGGAAGAGAAGGTCGAGCAATGAGGTACAAGAGGATTGAGGAAGTGGAGAAGGAGGGAGGAGGTACAACAGTGGAAGAAGGTGTAATCGATATAATAGCATACTTTAACTCAATAGATCTGCTGACCAGAACTACACACAAGACTACGCGATAGAGCTTATAATTATATATCATAACCTAATTGTAATGGTTTCATAAAAAAATAGCAGATGTGTTCGGTATAAAACCAAAGACGCGGGCACCGGACTTAGATGTTGCAATAGCGAAACAATCACCTGTCAATTTTATGAACTCTGGGTCGTCTTTATCCGTAAAGAAGTAGGTCTGGAAAAGAAAACGAACAACGTTTAGAGTGTCTATGATATAAGTGAACGTGTATTAGATCGATGATGCAATGTGCTTTTCTATTGCCGCACCTAACAACTGAATTGAATCCCAGCCCACTTCATCAGGGTGTCTGCCAACGCAAACCAAGATACATTGTTTGGCCACTTTTTGTCAATTCCGCAACATTCCGACATCATGATATTGATATGTTCGGGTTCAAAGATGGATACAGTTAAAAGATGGAACATATGAAAGATGGCAGGAGAAGATGGAACGAGCATGGAACGAAGACGTCGGAAGATGGTACAGACATTCCATTTGATTAACTGCTTTTATTTTAAATGAATACTTACAACGTAGTAATCAACAGGGTGATGGAAATGAGTATCAAAAACGAGAATAATGACAATAATAATATAACCAACAATACTAGCAGCATCGGCATCAGCAGCAGCAGCAGCAGCAGCAGCAGCAGCAGCAGCAGCAGCAGCAGCAGCAGCAGTAGTAGTAG